TGTGGTTAGCCATTACTGTAGAGGTGTGCGGCGGACTGTCCCTAATATTTTCGCAATCAATCCTACAGTACATCATAAGTAGGTTTTTCATCGGACTGGGCGATAGTGGACGTGGAGTTTGTCTATACCTACTGATCCTAGAAACGGTATGTTAAATAAATACCTGTATAATTTATATTAAAATAAAAACATATAAATTACTATTAATTTAATTTAAATAGCTAGTTAATACCAGTATGTTAAAACAAAATTATTTGTAACTAGCTAAAAATAAAATTAATTATAAAGCTCTACAGAATAAAATATACGTTATAATACAGTATTAGCTAATGGGTATTATTAAAATTTTACCTTGATCACTATTTAATAGGTGGGCACTAAATATCGGACCGACATAGCAATGTCAGTTAGTTTTGGATGGATAGCCGGCTATATAGCGTTACCTGCCTGTGCCTGGCTTTTACATGACTACCAGTACCTCCAAGCTATACCCACATCAATCGCATTGATTTTTATGTGCACCTGGCTATTGACAATACCTGAGTCGCCAAGGTGGCAACTGACTAACAATCAAATTGAAAAGGCCCGGCTCACAATCGCTAAAGCTGCTAAAATGAATGGGAGGATAACTAACCCGGATTACATGAGCGATAAATTCAATCAACTAAAACTTAACACAGAAATGGTATTTAAAAGTTATTTTTTTAAACCTGTTACTTTATAGTGTAAATTATTAAAATTTGAAAAGCAAAATTAATTGAGATAATAGGCACATATTTTCCATACTTAATTACAAATAATATGTTTTAATTTGAACCTACCTAAATAAATTACTTTATTATAGTATAATAAATAAATCTCTTAAAAATAGACACTATTACTTAATAATATTTATTTATTTTGAAAACTGTAATATAAAAATCTTAAATAATTATATTTTGATAAAAATGTTTTAAAATAAATTAGCGGTTATTAGACAGCCGAACATATAATATTTTGTTTAATATAACATATTATTATGTTTAAATATTTATAAATATTTCTTATTTTTATACATAGTCTCAAAACACAGCAAAAGGTCAACAGCACCGGACTATACTGGACCTACTGTCCCACCGAGTGATGCGAAACTATACCCTCATATTCTGGGTGTCATTCGCTGTGAACGCATTCATATATCACGGAATATCGCTGAATGTCCAGCAAATCGGCGGTAATCTGTACGTCAACTTTGCCATCGCAGGGCTGGTGGAGATACCGTCCCTCATACTCAACATCGTAGGCCTTAGACACGTGGGCCGTAAAGCATTTACCATCACTACTATGCTGTTGGCATCCCTTTCCTATTTGACTATTGTAGGGCTGGGTGCCTATAAGGAACCTATGGGTGCTAGCTATGAAACTGTGAAATTGGTGCTGGCTATGTTTGGAAAGTTATTTATTTTTAGCTCATTTAACGTTATTTATATACATTCGGGCGAAATATTTCCCACTGTATTGAGGCATACGGGGATCGGGAGCTGTAAGAAACTGTGAAATTGGTGCTGGCTATGTTTGGAAAGTTATTTATTTTTAGCTCATTTAACGTTATTTATATACATTCGGGCGAAATATTTCCCACTGTATTGAGGCATACGGGGATCGGGAGCTGTAGTATAGCCGCCCGTATTGGCTCAATACTGGCGCCGTTTGTTAAGGAAATGGTATGAAAATTAAGTTTAAAAAAATAATTTAGTTTATAGTTTATATAAATTTATATAATGCTTAAACAACTAGCTTATAAAAATTAATTTTAAGTTAGGGGGTAGTAAGGTAGAATATGATGTTAGTAATTTTTTAAAATTAAATAATCTAATAAATAACCTTGCCTAGTTGTAATCATATTTCAGTTTTTGTATGAAGCATTAATTATATAAACTTTGTAAAAATTAATTTAAATTGTATAATTAGTTCAAAATTATGTGCATAGAGTGAGCATTATAACTTTGGCGTATCTATGATGGTGTTTGGATTACTGGCACTAATGGCTACAATATTAACCGTTTTCCTACCGGAGACTAAGGACAGGGAGATACCCGACAATATGAATGATGTCGAGGAGTTGAGAGACTTAGGGCGCCGACACTCCGATGGTTATAAACATACGACTAGTGAACTACAGACACGCGAAAAACAAACAAATCAATTATAAAGTTATTAATAAATTAAAATTTTTAATTATGAACTAATTTATAATGCTGTAGAAATTATATATTTCTAAATTTATTGAAATAAATACCCATAGTAATCAATACAAATTAAATATTTTTTAAATCTTAATCTTATTTTACAGTATATTTTTATGTATTTAATAAAGATTGTATGTATAAATTAAATAATTTTTTTGCACTTCATAGTAGTGACTGCTTTATTATTTTATATTTGAAAATATTTTTACTACTTATTATTATCAGTATTTAACTACATTTAATTATGTAATTTTAATCTATAAAACTAGGTTGTTGGCAACTAACTAGTATTCAATTTGAAAAGGCCCCACTTACTATTGTTAAAGCTCCTAAAATTAATGCAAAAGTAACTAACCCGGATAACATGCGCAAATAAGTACAGTCAATTAATACTTAACACATTAAAAGTAAACAAATGATTGATAATGTGTTTAATAAAAGATATTTTTAATTTTTAAATAATTTTTAAATAATTTTTAAATAATTTTTAATTCTGTAGAAATAGTAGAGATTGTTACCTGAATTTTATCAATCAATATCTAATTTAATTTAAATAATTAGCCTTTTGTACGTTAATCAATACAAATTAAGTTAAATAATTTTTATTTTAATCCCGTAAAGAGACTGTAATGTGTACATTAAATAATTTTATTTTTACTCATGCTATTCAATGCTTTAATTATTTTATTGTTTTTATTTATCATTTAATTTTATTTTTATAGTAGTAAAAGGTATAATAAATAAAATTATAATTACAATTTAATTACCAGTACATAAAACACAATTTTAAAAATTTGAGATTAAAAATAAATAAATAATTTAAAAATTTTATTTTATTAATCATGTTAAAACAAATACTTCAATGCATATTACAACATAATTTTTAAAATACACCACGGCTTTTTTAATTAAAGCTCAATTCACCACAAACCTCACCACAATTATCACCAAATTTCATAGTTATCATAGTTTTCATCATTGTGTCCATAATTGGCAGGATGTCTACGATGTTCATCACCTTGGTGTCCATGGTGTCCATAGCCTGGATGGTTATAGCCTTGATGTAAGGAGCTCATGTATTGAGGGTGTCCATGGTGTCCATGATGGCCATGGTGTCCAGGGTGTCCAGGGTGTCCAGAATGTCCAGGGTGTCCATGATAATATGGGTGATGGTATAGACTCGAGTAGTTCTCAAGTTCATTTTCATTGTCATCTTGTGTTTCACTATCAAAGGAAAAGCCGTAGTTTTTTATGCCTTCCGCCGGTTTCTCGTCGTCTTCCGGTTGGTGACCAGCGTATGGAGATTTATACCCATTTTCCAGGGGCTCGCCTCCGGCCATCGGATGCCTATAGCCATTATCAAGGGGCTGGTAGCCGACCATTGGGTGCTTATAGCCATTATCCAAGGCTTTGAAGGATTTTATAACATGTCTGTCGTAGGGACGGTAGGCATTAATGTAGTTGTCGTGGGGGTGATAGATAATAATTGGTCGGTAGTGGGGTCGGTAGCCATAAATCTCTCTAACGAGTGAATTGCAAAAGTGTGTACCATGTACCATTAGTAATGTTACAAGGATTATAAAAATGAATAATTTAAAATATACGGGACTCACCGTTTATAAGGGTAATACCCAGGATCATTATCAGCTGATGAATACGTAATTGATGTCAATGATAGTAAAAGGAGTAAGGTGCTTTTTAGCCTAAAATTAAAGTGGATACAATATTATAATAGATTAATTGTTATTTACTATGATTGTTTTTATTTACATTTTTAATCAATGTTTCATTATTTAATTTAAATTTGTAATCCATAAATTACATAGTGTTGGTTAATAACAATTATAAATGAGCACTGTAATTAGTAACCATGTAATATCTATAATCATTATTTTTGTTGTCAAATTTGAAATAGCGCACTTTTTATTTATGAATTTAGATTATTATTTGTTAAACTTATTAACAATTAAATTTTTCCGTAATTTATTGTTAATTTATATAAGTTGACTTTACAATTTCTCAATTGACACAGAACGAGATTTATATTATAATTAAAACTATAAATTCTTTAATAATAAGTTAAAAATAATACTTTAAAATAAGTAATTGAAAAACATTTCAAATTATAAAATACTATTATTATTATAAATAAAATTAAAGTTAAAACCAAAATGTATTAAAAACTTTAGCGATTGTCCCAGCTCCACTTCCAACGCCAACACTTATCATTAACTTTAATATTTTAATAATTTGATTATCTTGATTACCAATATGATCTTTACAAATAATTAACACCAACAATTTCTTTAAACTTTTGTATCAAAACCAAAATGAAATTTTATGTTTTCAGGTTGTGTGGCCATAACCAGGGTGTCCAAAATCATAATAATACCGTTGTATAGTTGTCTAGTTTGCTGAACCTTGTAATAATCCTGATCTCTTATAATCTAAATATAATACTTGGGCATATAAATATATATCTAAGGTATAAATAGGGTATAAATACTTTTTTAAAACTCAATGTTGAAAATAAGCCCCATTTTGGCATATAATAAATTAATCATAATATTATGCAATTAAAAAATTAAATAATTTTTATTATTTATTTATTTTCAATATTCCGAAAATAATCTTTTTAAAGATACTTTGTGTGAAGTTTATTTTATTTTATAAAAACTAAAAATAAACAATTTAAACTAATAACCACTAGTGCAGTATTAATAATTTTATTTTTATTTCTTAAAATTCAATAATCGCATACAAAGTATTATAGAAAATAACTTATGCATCGGATGGCCAAGGTTCTTTTTTTGGACCATTTAATCATGAACCATCTAATTCAAAACCGGTCTCACCACCCAGATCATGAGCGGCTGCCCCCTTATATTCAGTCTTTACACCCATGAAGTCCAGACCTCCGGCCCCACTGAGTGCTGTTTTGGAATTGCCTTTCATACCGAACTTGAGCCCATAATTTTCGATACCATGGTGGGGGTGGTGTGACAGGTGATCGTGTGGGCTACGGGGTTCCTCGTGGTAGGGCATATGTTCAGGGTGGTTCATGTGGTGGGGGTGTCCATAGTGCTGCATATGGTGCGGGTGTCCATAGTGGTGCATATGGTGGGGGTGTCCATGATGTTGCATATGGTGGGGGTGTCCATGATGTTGCATATGGTGGGGGTGTCCATAGTTATGTATACGATGGTGATGTTCAGGCTGGTCATTCTGGTCTGGACCTAATGCAAAATGTTGACTATCCGGGTCTATGAGGTTATTTGGGTGGATAGGGTGTCCATGGCGAGGGTGGAGTACGTATAAAGCACTTGTAGTCGCTATTACCGTAACCAATAATATAATGGTCAAACTATTCATTTTAAAATAAATAAAAATTAGTTTTGTGTTAATATGAATATGTTTTTACTATTATAAAGTGGATCAAAAAGTAATGGGATGAGGGTTTGCTTAATAGCTCGCTTATTGGTTATAGCAAAAATCTATGCTCTGGCACACTTAAAGTTTATTATGAGGTAGCCATGAAAAAACAAGAATATTCTGTTTGACATCAAGAATATTCTGTCAAATTGGATCATTTGCTGGACCCATAGTCAGCGCAAAGATTGCTAATGCTAAAATTATATGGAGTAGTGCTATGGTAGGTGAGATACTATATTTTAATAATATCAAAAAATAATTAAAAATATATTGAATGTCTGCTTACAGTTTAACTTTGAAAATGGTAAATTCCGCCATAGACTCTTATGTGTTTGGAAAATAAAATAACATTTTTGAAAATGTTTTATGCCTATAATGAGTACTAGTCAATTCTAATAAGGATAGCACAAATCAAAATTTAAAAATATTAACTTTTGGGCGTTTTATTAATTATTTTCTAAATTCATAAAAAAAGGCTGAGCAAATTTTTTTTAAGAAAAACTTGTTTTTCTAAAATACATTAAAATTTACATATTTTATTCAAAATAACATATTATTGATTCAAAACCATTTAGAAATTATAATATAAGATAAATTATCTTTGATATCAAAATATAAATATCCTTGAAAGTTTGAAACTTGTAATTTTCAATGTCAATGTCAAATTAAAACACATCAATCAAATTAAATAATAAACAAATTGCCTTTTTGACTGATAAACAATTATATATATAAATTATATAAATAAATATATATGTAAAATGAACTTGTAATTTTCAATGTCAATGTCAAATTAAAACACATCAATCAAATTAAATAATAAACAAATTGCCTTTTTGACTGATAAACAATTATATATATAAATTATATAAATAAATATATATGTAAAATGTTTTATAACGCGATATTAAATAATATTATTGAGTACATATAATTATAGTGTTATTGCATATTTATTATGATATAATTCAAGGGTAAAACTATTTTAAAAATAGCAACTATTTAATATTATATATACTTGTGTATTATTGAATTAAAATTAATATTTTGTGAATTTAAGTTTTCATATAAGTATTAAACTTCAATAATTGTGAGTTTTAAATTAAGATTTTTTTCAAATATTAGACAATTTGATTTAAATGTTAATATTAATGTATTTATTGTTATACATAATTCTACTTAAAAAGATGGGAGCATTAATACCAGCAGGAGTTATTTTAATTCTATTAATAATTAGTGGCACATATTATGCTTCACGAGAGACCCCAGAAGCAATGCCATTAGATGGTGAGCCATTTATCCCAAATCGTGGTGAAGGTGCGGCCACAATATTTCACCCTAATGGTAGACGATATTCAGCTCAAGACCAACGCGCGTATATATCTATTTCAGTAGATGCCGGAGTATCGTATGCTGAAATTAAAGCAATATTGCGCAGGGTTTTTAAGAACAACGCATATTCTGATTCGAGAATTAATAAACTTTTTAATGAGTTCAAAACAGGAGACAGAGAAAGTACTGACCGGTGTCCTACTAGTGGGAGACCGCAAACTGCCACAGATGATGTACACGAGGACATGCTCGTAGACCTAATGGGTGAAAGTAGATCATGGACTGTGGATCAACTTGCTACAGAAATGGGTATAAGTTATGGTAGCGTAATAACCCTATTAGATAGATGCAAGTTTAAAAAAGTTGGGGCCGCTTTTCTTCCCCATGAATTGGATGCTAAGCAAAAAGAAAATAGAGTGAAATTATGCAAAAGAAATATGGCAAGGTATCGACGAGAGCATAATTTGTTAAACGATATTATTGCTATTGATGAAGTAAGTTTATAATAATATTTTATGTAATAATTAAAACAATTTAATTAATTTCTAGTCCTGGCTTCGTTGCTATGACCCGTTAACAGATCAACAAGCACAAGAGTGGCGTCAACCTGGAGAGGATCCGTATGTTTAATCAAAAAAATTATATTAAGATTTTCTAATGATTTGTTTTAAGTCCAACACGTGTAGTATCAGAATTAAGAGATTTCAAGATATTAATGACAGTTATTATATACCAAGATGAAATTATTGGAGTCCAATATTTAGAACGAGGGGAGACAATGAACGGGGATCGATATAAAGCATTTCTTGAAAATGTTTTAAAGCCTTTAATTCAACAAAAACGTATCAGAAATCCTTATATTTTGCAGGATCATGCAACCCCCATGAACGGGGAGATGTGCAGGCTTATATAACTTCACAAGGCTGGAATCTGTTAGATCACCCAGCTTGGTCTCCTGACCTGAACCCGGTATTTATTAAAATAAAATTCTAAAAATTTGTATTAATTATTAGTTTATAGTGCGATTTCGATGTTTTTCATCGCATCAAAAGACCCCTCAAAGGAAAACGCTTTGCAACACGAGATTTACTGATTGCTGCTGCAGATGATTCTATAAAACAAATTAACACAGATCATAAGTTAATTGGCATTGCCAATTTAAATGGAAGATGGCAGGAGATAATTGACTCAAAAGGGGAGTATTTAATTCATAATGGCTAAACAAACATATGTTCCCAGATTTATTTTACTGAATAATATAATCCTATATTTTAATCTAATTCAGGTTTTTTAATCTGGGATTTTTACTTATTTTTTACTGTATCTTAATATTGCAAATATTGTTATTTTGAATA